TTGAACTAACTAGTAACAGAAGCAACTCGGATGTAAGATAGAAGAATTGTGGATGGACGCTGGAAGAGGAGTGTTCTGTCGCGGTCCACCCGGACCAGACACATATCTGAGCGGAGGTGATTTGGGCATCGAGAACCTACCTCCGACCGCAGAACTCATTAAGGAAGATGTTCTACTACGCTTTTTGGCGAGCCTCAGATCGACGGAAGTTGATCGTGCTGTTGTCGCGGGTATCCTTCATTCGGGCGCCGGGATTCGGGCACTCGAACGAGTCTCCCGACCGACCGTCATCTCGATGTCGACAAACACACCCATTTCTATGTCAGATAATGCTTGGAATGAGGTCTTTGGCCTTTCAGATCCGATGTTGTTGGAAAATGGGCTAACCAGGCAAAGTTGAAGCTTTTGTACCCAGCGCTTCACCTCACATGTTAATTAGGTTCGCACTTGCCGATGGAGCCATCCTTTTCCTGGGGTGGAATTGGCATGCCGGTAAGGCATGGCTCTCGCAAGCATCGAGTGTCTTTCGCGCTCGTGGAGTCTCTTCGGAGGACTTGAGCGTATACAGTGTGTTGTCATTTTTCCCTCTTCTTTTGCCTACTCATACTTTCTAGAACTTGTATATTCTAGTGCTGTGTTGAAAGGTAATCTTTCATACACTACAGCCCAGCGTGAACAACGCTCCCGACGAAAGATATACCTGTTTGTCTGTCCTCCTCTTCCGGACCTCCGTAAAGGCTACGCCTCTCCTGTACACTACTGGTCTTTTGACACACACGGCCAATTGCCTCTCTCCCAAGGCGACTGTACCAAGCTTGGCCTTCCCATCAAGCTTGACTTTCGCGATACCTGCGAGTCTTTTGCTTGGACCAATAAAGCCTACAAAAACCTCCACCAATATCAAGTCCTCCGGGGCATCGACTCCAGTACCACAACTGCTTTTACTCTATCTCTTGGCTACAATCACATTTTCCGCCCTCTAAATGACTCGGATCGTTTTCAACCAGGCTAGGCTCAACATCAGTTTTTCCAGTTCGATAGGATCTGATTTCTTTTCTTCCGTTGGTAGACCCGTTACCCAACTCTAGAAGTAGACCCTTGACGCCAACATCCGAAGCTCCACCAACTGAACACCCTACTCGAGCCCACCCTAGACTGCCTCCCTCTAGAACTCGACAACCTACCAGCTCTCAAGGCAGCTCGCATGAGTTTGTGCCCCTTGCGACGTGTTTTAACCGATATACACGCCGTCGCCGTGGCGAGAACATCGGATCCCAACCCCTAAAGGTCGGGCAGGTGCACCAAGGTTAGTCCTTGCACTCATTTAGTACTGTAGGAGATATACTCAACGTGGAATTGATCTTTCTCCTGAAGAATCGAACCTGCCTCGGAAAACAAGTATTCGGAATCTTTTAGCGACCGAAGATCTTCCCGTTCGTCCGATGCGATATGCGACTCTTAGGCCTACTACTAGCCTTTGGTCGCCCACATTCCTGCCACTACCCTCGGCAACCCCGCGTGATGTAAAACAGACTGAGACGCTCGACATGGACGTTGACTGAGGGTTTGGCAGCTAGAAAGTCCATTGCATTCTGTAGCTTCGCTGCTTGAAGTTCAAGGCTCGAGTATTATTGATATTCAAACCGGCGTCGCTATCACTATCTTGAATGTCGTACATACTACACACTTGTCAATCAACGAAGCTACATAAATAGATACTACGAGTACAAGACAGCGTGTCTCCCTCAGAGATATTAAGGGGAGATGCACGAGTAAAAGGTCGGGAAGAAAAGGTTGAGGCTGGGTGAAGGACACGAGGCGTTTGATCAGTTCCCACTGGTCGATGAACTATGGTCATGGTATATTGATTTGGAGGAGAGATATGGAGGATGTGCAAGCTCAAAGTTGTGAGTGCCAATTTGACAATGCGGTTAAATGGTTCGTTTTCACTGGACAATTCGCCGACGGTGAATTTCTACCGCTTAGTACTCCTCCTTGCTTTACTACTAACAGAGATGAAGGAGATAGGACTCGTGCGAACTGGCAACTAACAAACTTGTGGGTATGACTGTACAATACTCACTTATTCATCTGACATTCACAGAAGAGCGTCGAAAATCCCGAGACACACACATCCCATCCATTTCCATGGGCAGTGTCCTCGTTTATCGTCTGACCAGCGTGCTCGGTCGTGTTCTGGATCCTCACCCATCCGACACTCGGACTCAATGTCCAAAGCGTCGAACAGAGACTCCTATCGCTCGATCCGCCGATCCTCTCCCATGCACTGTGTGGCCTCGTGGTGCTGTATCCCATTCGATGATCGCCTAGAGAGATTCAGCACAACGCCGTCATTATGAATCGCTCGTTCCCCCATTCGTCACCGACAACGACTCAGTTGGCACCAGTTTCTTACTCGATGCATAGAGCTCACGGTAGATCTTGCTCCACGAATATTTATCGATTATTATACGATACAACTCCCACGCATCTTTGATCGGAACACACAACTTACGGCAATGGAGGGGGGGGGGGCGGCGATAGCAGTTTGGCTTTTGACCAGCGCCTGTGCTAGTGTGGCGTGCAATTGATTCCAGATAGGGTAGAGTTTTAGAATTAAATGTTGCCCGAACCGCCACGGATCAGTTGATGCGCTCCCGTTGAGTCGACAATCCCTCCCCGATGACGGGCCGTTCGACGTTGAGAAAAGAATTGCCTAAGCTTGGAAGACCAAGGTATCATCGATTCATCATCCAACTACACAATGCATGAAGAGGGAGCTCGGGCTCGAGTGTACCTCCAGTGGTGCGTCCGCGTCA